GTGAAGAGGCCGTTGTCTCTTCAAGTATCAGATTCGCCACTGTAATTGAAGTGTCTGTAATAAATACGTGTTGCCTCCAAAGAACAGTCTCCGACGAAACCCCGCAGCCATAGGTCAAACGGAACTAACTGCAGTCTGTTGCACCGCTGTCGCAGGTACGACGAGAGACGGAGGAAATACGTTTAGGGCTAAATTTCGATTGAAAGCTTTCGTGACTGCAGGGATTCATCTTCTTGGTTCTTTCGGTAAAGTCACCACGTAGAAATGGAAATAACATAGTAAAACATAATAAAATAAATTTCTCACGACGTTTCGGCCACAACACAAGTAGCCTTCTTCACCTGTTTCGGCCACAGCACAAGTAGTCTTCTCCACCTGAAGAAGGCTACTTGTGTTGTGGCCGAAACGTCGTGAGAATTTTATTTTGTTATGTTTTATTATTATTATTTTATTTCCATTCTACGTGACTTTACCGAAAGGACCAAGAAGACGTTTAGGACTATTTCTTTGCTAAACTAAACAGTTTTGTTGTTGTTACAATTAGGGAACCTTTCCTGCCCGTATCACAACATAAGAGAGTAGCTGTTTGACCTTTTTTTCTGGCAATAAAACAGTGGGGGGGTGTCTTAAGATGTTAAAACACCAAACGGGAGCTTGTGCAAAATCATCATCTTGCTGCATTAACCGCACGCGGTACTGATAGTCAACATGCAAACCAAAGCCGTAATTATAAAATATATATGGGGGGGCACATTGCCCCCCAATATTCAAATATGTTCAAAATGTCCCCCCCCCCAATATATTGCTATAAACAATATTTAAAAATAATAATTGCTATGCTATGTCAATAAAAACAACAATTTGCTAAACCTTGGCCACAATATCTGAATTTGTCTTCATATAACAATGGCATAAATGTCTGTTTATATGATTGTGGTTATGGTTGTACTTTATTAATCCCTAATCTCTGCCATTACATACAATGAAACAAGAAAAGGTAAAAAAAGAAAAAAACAGAGCAATGTAATACAATACACTAGTAGACATTATTGTGACAAAAAAATCCGTCCCATGTGTTAGTGATTTTTAAATATTCTAGACAGGAAATTTGTTTTCAAATTTAGATTTTTTTTTCAGGGGGGGGGGCCCTAGACCCCCTGGAAGATTTGGTCCCCCCCAATGTTGACTCCATGGCTACGGCCTTGATGCAAACAAATAAACAACGTGCTCTAATAATATCATTAATCCACAATGCATTGTCTTCGAATCTGATTGGTCCATACCATAGATAGTAAGGCCCCAGCAAGCTCCTGTGCCGTGGCTCTTGTTCAGAAGTGACCTGACCATCACAAATCATGGCTGATATCATCATCACCTAGACATTCATAGCAGCAGCTAAATAATCTCATCTAACACGCATAGAGATACATAGATCGCCAAAAAGATACGTAGATACCCACAGAGATATGTAGATACCATAGAGATGCATAGAGACATATAGACCCATAGAGATACATAGAGACCCATACATTCAAAGAGACCCATCGACCCACAGATACCCATAGAGATTCAGAGTCCCATAGACCCACAGAGACCCATGGAGATACATTTTTAGCCAAAAAGATATGTAGATACCCACAGAGATCCATAGATATACATAGATAGCCATAGAGATACATATAGACCCATAGACATACACATATACCATAGAGAAACGAAGATCCACAGAGACCCATATAGATACATAGAGACCCACATGGATCCAGAGACTCATATAGAATCATAGAGACCCACAGAGACCCACAGTCATCGAGACCCACACACTAAAACTAAACTATGTTGATGTTACCAGGTGGAAGGCCGCCACTAAATCTGCTTTGTAGCTTTGTTCAGAAGCGACCTGGCCACCATCAGGTCGTGACAGCAGCTCAACCCAGTGGCTGACGTCATCATCATTATCATCTCGTGGTCATTTATAGCAGCATTACTGTAAACGCGTGTTTATGCAGACTCACAGAGACCCATACTAAAAAGTAAACTACTATCATCTTACCAGGTCTAAGGCCCACTGACTATACACAGCAGCAGTCAGGGTCACGGGATCGAACCCACGACCTCCTGCATACCAGGCGAGAGAGTTACCATCTCCCTCGTCACTACTTTGGCCCCCAATAAGCACATTTCACAGTGATGAGGTGGGGGTGTGTGTGTGTGTCTTGTATGTGTGTCTTATATGTCTTCTCGGCCACAATCATTCCCTCCCTTCTCTACGCTTGCGAAACGTAGACCCCCGTAATGGAACATCTTCGCCGGTTAGAAACATTTAGGCTGGCCTGCCTACGATCAATCTTGGGTTTAACCAGGCTGGATTGTGTGAGGAGCTCTCAAATCCTTGAAAGATCTGGGCAAGGTCCCATCGGTGAGCTCCTCCGGCAGGAAAGGCTGCGTTGGCTGGGCCATGTAGCCCGCATGCCCAGCCACCGCATGCCTAAACAGCTTTTGTTCGGCCGGATCGAGGGGGCTAAACGGGCGTGGCACGGGCTAGAGAAGAGATGATGTGGTACAGGAGGACGTGAAGCTGAGTGGACTTGCCGATGACTGGTACCAGCGGTGTCAAGATCGGCCTCTGTGGAGGAGGCTCGTGAAGGACGCTGCTACGGCAGTTGGAGGCAGTCGTTCTCCAGCAACAACGGAGGGCGGAGGAGCGACGCTCACAACAACGAGCGGAGCGCCGGGTGGCTAAAGCACAGCAGGTTGGCACAGTAGGGGGCACAGGTGGTGCATCAGCCAGTCATATCAGTCATCTCAGTCAGTCGACCCGTGGCACCTGCTGGGTCTGCCCCGTGACCTCCTGCCAGCGGGCGTTCGACACTTCACGTGGCCTCAAGGTGCACATAGCCTGGCACAAGCGTCGTTGTGACGTCACCGCCACTTAGTGGCGAATGGCGGTTGTTGTGTGCGTCCTGTAAGTTGTCACAGTAGGTGGCACAGGTGTAGTAGTGCAGCGTATAGTAGTGCAGTGTATAGTGTCGTGTATAGCAGTGCAGTGTATAGTCGTATAGTGTATAGTGCAGTGTATAGTCGTGTAGTGTATAGTGTATAGTAGTGCAGTATATAGTGTATTGTATAGTAGTGCAGTGTATAGTGTAGTGTATAGTGTAGTAGTGTAGTGTATAGTAGTGTAGTGTATAGTGTAGTGTATAGTATATCATACTCTTTGGTTCTTTCGGTAAAATCACGTAGGTATAAAATAAATTAATTCACGACGTTTCGATCGCAACACAAGCGACCATCTGCTGTATCTGTTCCACCTACGTGATTTTACCGTATGGATTCCTGCAGTCACGACAGCTTCAAATCAAGATATAGTTTATCGTATAGTAGTGCAGTGTATAGTGTAGTGTATAGTGTAGTGTATAGTGTAGTATGTAGTGTATAATGTAGTGTATAGTAGTGTATTGTAGTGTATAGTGTAGTGTATAGTGGTAGTGTATAGTGTAGTGCGTAGTGTATAGTGTAGTGTATATTGTAGTATATAGTGTAGTGTATAGTGGTAGTGTATAGTGTAGTGTATAGTGTAGTGTATAGTGGTAGTGTATAGTGTAGTGTATAGTGGTAGTGTATAGTGTAGTGTATAGTGTAGTTTATAGTGTAGTGTATAGTGTAGTTTATAGTGTAGTGTATAGTGTATTATATAGTAAATAGTGCAGTGTATATAGCATCTGAAAGCCCAGCGCGATGATCCGACGACCGTCTTCATTCGATGGCTGAGCCAAAAGCCGCCGCCGCTGCTGCTGCGAGGATGAGTGGAGTTTGCGTGATGGTGGTTTAATAATTAACCTTGACGAGATCAGCAGCGAGGTATCGTGGTTCATTTGTGGCAGGCACCTGCCCATCCACTCCCTCACTCACACTCACTCAGTCACTCACTCACACACATTCACCCACTAAATAACTCACCCACTCACACCCACTCACTCACCCACCCACTCACTGACGCACACATCCACACCCACTCACTCACCCATTCACCCAACTCACCCACTCATTCACCCAACTCACCCATTCACCCACCCACTCACCCACCCACCCATTCACCCACTCACTCACTGACTCACACATCCACACCCACTCATCCACTCACCCACCCACCCACTCATCCACCCACCCACCCAACTCACTCACCCACCCAACTCACTCACCTACGCACCTACTCACCCATCGACCCACTCACCCACCCACTCACCCATTCACCCATTCACCCACTCACTGACTCACACATCCACACCCACGCATCCACTCACCCACCCACTTACTCACCCACCCACCCAACTCACTCACCCACCCAACTCACTGACCCACGCACCCACTTACTCACCCACCCACCCACCCAACTCACTCACCCACGCACCCACTCACCCATCCACCCACTCACCCATCCACCCACTCACAGGCCCACTCACACACCCACTCACCCACCCACTCACCCACGCACCCACTCACCAACCTATCCCCCTAACTCACTCAGTCACCCACTCACTGACCCACGCACCCACTCACCCACCTACCCCCCTAACTCACGCACCCACCCACTCACTCACCCACGCACCCACCCACTCACTCACCCACTCACCCACCCACCCACTCACCCACCCACCCACTCACTCACCCACTCACTCACTCACCCACTCACTCACCCACTCACTCACCCACCTACTCACCCACGCACCCACTCACCAACCTACCCCCCTAACTCACGCACCCACCCACTCACTCACCCACGCACCCACTCACCCACCCACTCACTCACCCACCCACCCACCCACTCACCCACTCACCCACCCACCCACTCACTCACCCACCCACTCACACGCCCCCCTCCCGTGTCTCCGCCTCGTCGTCACCCGTCGAGCCGTCCGGCCCCGTCCGTTCCTCCCCCCGCTTGAGGGACGACGCCAAACCGTCCAATCGGAACCCCTCCCCCCCAGCCCCCTCCTCCTCCCTTCATCCTCCTCTTCTGTGATATCCACCGAGTCTCTGCTGCATCCTCCGTCACTGCTGCTGTCGTGCAGGGAGGTCGGGTCTGTGTGATGGTGGGGTGGGTGGGTGAGTGGGTGGGTGAGTGGGTGGGTAAGTGGGTGAGTGGGTGGATAAGTGGGTGAGTGGGTGGGTGAGTGAGTAGGTGAGTTAGTTGGTGGGTGAATTATTGGGTGGGTGGGTGAATGGGTTGGTGGGTGAGTGATTGGGTGGGTGAGTGATTGGGTGGGTGAGTGAGTGAGTGGTTGGGTGGGTGAGTGAGTGATTGGGTGGGTGGGTGAGTGATTGAGTGGGAGGGTGAGTGTGTGGGTGAGTGAGTTAGTAGATGGGTGGGTGAGTAAGTGGGTATGTGGGTGGGTGAGTGAGTTAGTGGGTGAGTGAGTGGGTGGGTGAATGGGTGGGTGAATGGGTGAGTGGGTGGGTGAGTGGTTGGGTGAGTGTGTGGATGGGTGGATGAGTGATTGGATGGGCGGGTGAGCGGCTAGGTAAGCTGAACTCACGACGATAATCACTTAGTCCTCTCTCTCTCTCTCCAAATTCGCTCATGATTTACGACGATCGGGTTCCCGCTTGCCCCCTCTTACCTCGCTCTTCCCTGCTCCTCCTGCTCAACCTGCGTCTCCTCCTCCTCACCCTCCTCACGTAGACGAGGACGAGCCACACGGCGAGCGAAGCCAACACCGACACCACCACGGCTACCGCCACCGCCGCCGGGATCACGGCCAGCAGACCTGGGGGTGGAGGGTGAAGGGGGGTGGAGGGGGAAGGGGGGTGGAGGGGGAAGGGGGGTGGAGGGGGAAGGGGGGTGGAGGGGGAAGGGGGGTGGAGGGGGAAGGGGGGTGGAGGGGGGTGGGGGGAGTGGGGGGGTGGAGGGGGCGGGGAGGGGGCGGGGGAGGGGGTGGTGGGAGGAGGGGGGGTGGAGGGGCGGGAAGGGGGTGGGGGGAGGAGTGGTGGAGGGGGTGGAGGGGGGTGGAGGGTGAAGGGGGGTGGAGGAGGTGGGGGGAGTGGGGGGGGGGCAGGGGGAGGAGGGGGTGGGGGGCGTTGAGGGGGTGGAGGGGGGTGGAGGGGGCGGGAAGGGGGTGGGGGGAGGAGTGGTGGTGGGGGGGGGTGGAGGGGGGAGGAGTGGGGGTGGGGTGACGGTGCTCGTTAGCAACCCTCGTACTGGGGTAACGATCTGTGAGTGACGCCCACCCACCCCCCCAACATTTCTTTCCCTCTTCTCCCTCCTCCCTTCCCCTTGCGTCCCTGCCCCCTCCCCCCTGCCCCCCTGCCCACCCGGTGACGAGGCGGGCTGCTCCTCATTGCGGCAGATCGCCTCCCGGCATGCGCAGTGGGGGGCGGCGGTGGCCGCGCAGTCGCTGAGCCCCAACTCCCCTGCACCCCACGCGGAGACGACGACGACGTCCATCAGAGTTGTGGGGGGAGTTGGGGGGAGGGGGAGTTGGGGGGAGGGGGAGTTGGAGGGGGAGTTGGGGGGGGAGGAGTTGGAGGGGAGGGGGAGTTGGGGGGGGGAGGAGTTGGAGGGGAGTTGGAGGGGGAGTTGGAGGGGGAGTTGGGGGGGGAGGGGGAGTTGGGGGGAGGGGGGTAGTTGGGGGGAGGGGGAGTTGTGGGGGGGAGGGGAGTTGGGGGGGGGAGTTGTGGGGGAGGAGGGGGAGTTGTGGGGGGGAGGGGGAGTTGTGGGGGGAAGGGGAGTTGGAGGGGGAGTTGGGGGGAGGGGGAGTTGGGGGGAGGGGGAGTTGGGGGGGAGGGGGAGTTGGGGGGAAGGGGAGTTGGAGTGAGGGGGGGTTGGGGGGGAGGGGGAGTTGGGGGGAAGGGGAGTTGGAGGGAGGGGGAGTTGGGGGGAGGGGGAGTTGGGGGGGAGGGGGAGTTGGGGGGAAGGAGAGTTGGAGGGAGGGGGAGTTGGGGGGAGGGGGAGTTGGGGGGGAGGGGGAGTTGGGGGGGAGGGGGAGTTGGGGGGAAGGGGAGTTGGAGGGAGGGTGAGTTGGGGGGAGGGTGAGTTGGGGGGAGGGGGAGTTGGGGGGAGGGGGAGTTGGGGGGAGGGGGAGTTGGGGGGAGGGGGAGTTGGAGGGGGAGTTGGGGGGGAGGGGGAGTTGGAGGGAGGGGGAGTGGGGGGGAGGGGAAGTTGGAGGGGGAGTTGGGGGGGGAGGAGTTGGAGGGGGAGTTGGGGGGGGAGGGGGAGTTGGGGGGAGGGGGAGTTGGGGGGAGGGGGAGTTGGGGGGAGGGGGAGTTGTGGGGGGGAGGGGAGTTGTGGGGGGAGGGGGAGTTGGGGGGGGGAGTTGTGGGGGAGGAGGGGGAGTTGTGGGGGGGAGGGGGAGTTGTGGGGGGAAGGGGAGTTGGAGGGGGAGTTGGGGGGAGGGGGAGTTGGGGGGAGGGGAGTTGGGGGGAGGGGGAGTTGGGGGAGGGGGAGTTGTGGGGGGGAGGGGAGTTGGGGGGGGAGTTGTGGGGGAGGAGGGGGAGTTGTGGGGGGGAGGGGGAGTTGTGGGGGGAAGGGGAGTTGGAGGGGGAGTTGGGGGGAGGGGAGTTGGGGGAAGGGGAGTTGGGGGAGGGGGAGTTGGAGGGGGAGTTGGAGGGGAGTTGGGGGGGGAGGAGTTGGAGGGGAGGGGGAGTTGGGGGGGGGAGGAGTTGGAGGGGGAGTTGGAGGGGGAGTTGGAGGGGGAGTTTGGGGGGGGAGGGGGAGTTGGGGGGAGGGGGAGTTGGGGGGAGGGGGAGTTGGGGGGAGGGGGAGTTGGGGGGAGGGGGAGTTGGAGGGGGAGTTGGGGGGGAGGGGGAGTTGGAGGGAGGGGGAGTTGGGGGGGGAGGGGGAGTTGGAGGGGGAGTTGGGGGGGGGAGGAGTTGGAGGGGGAGTTGGGGGGGGAGGGGGAGTTGGGGGGAGGGGACGTTGGGGGGAGGGGGAGTTGTGGGGGGGAGGGGGAGTTGGGGGGGGAGTTGTGGGGGAGGAGGGGGAGTTGTGGGGGGGAGTTGGGGGGGGAGTTGTGGGGAGGGGGAGTTGGGGGGAGGGGGAGTTGGAGGGGGAGTTGGGGGGAGGGGGAGTTGTGGGGAGGGGGAGTTGGGGGAGGGGGAGTTGGAGGGGGAGTTGGGGGGAGGGGGAGTTGGAGGGAGGGGGAGTTGGGGCAGGGGGAGTTGGGGGGAGGGGGAGTTGGAGGGGGAGTTGGGGGGGAGGGGGAGTTGGAGGGAGGGGGAGTTGGGGGGAGGGGGAGTTGGGGGGAGGGAGAGTTGGGGGGAGGGGGAGTTGGGGGGAGGGGGTGTTGGGGGGGAGGGGTCGTTGGGGGGGGGCGTGGGGGGGAGGGGGTGTTGGGGGGAGGGGGAGTTGGGGGGAGGGGGAGTTGGGGGAGGGGGAGTTGGGGGGAGGGGGAGTTGGGGGGAGGGTCGTGGGGGGTGTTGGGGGAGGAGCTTAAACATTCTCTGAGTGCCACGTGCGTCGTGACGCGTTCACCACACACACAACACACCACACTGAAAACAAACCTGTAGTCCCATGTGAGTGTCAACTTTGTTTTTGCTTGAATCGTGACTTAAAGCTTTCGTGACTGCAGGAATTCATATTGTTGGGTTCAAACAAATAATAACAAAAACTTTTTTTTGTAATTTTAGTTTTTTAACCTATCTACGTGAATTTTACCGAAAGACCCAAGGAATGTTGTTTTGTTTTTGTTTAAGTCACCTTGCGTGTATAATATATGTCGATATAAATACACGGCGAGCCGCGTCTCACGAGGGAACACGCCGTGCAATTGAAGCACCAAGCCTGCTGCTGCTGGCTGTTGTTGTTGTGGCTGCTGTTGTTGTTGTGGGTGATGTTGTTGTTGTTGTTGCACGGCACGCAGAGAGGAGGGAGCCCAGCATTGGTGCTGGAGCAGTCTCCTGGCTGACTTGACGGTCCTGCAGCACGAGCAGTGGGTGAGGGGTGTAAGTGCGTGGGTGGGTGGGTGAGGGAGTGAGTGCGTGAGTGCGTGGGTGGGTGGGTGAGCGGGTAAGTAGGTGAGCTGAGTGAGTGAGTCGGTGATGTGAACGATGTGGATAGGTAGGTGAGTGAACGAGTGGATGGGGTGGGTGCGTGAGTCAGTGGGTGGGTGGATGAGTGGGTGGATGAGTGGGTGGGTGGATGAGTGGGTGGGTGGATGAGTGGGTGGGTGGATGAGTGGGTGGATGAGTGGGTGGGTGGTGGATGAGTGGGTGGGTGGGTGGATGAGTGGGTGGGTGGGTGGATGAGTGGGTGGGTGGGTGGATGAGTGGGTGGGTGGGTGGATGAGTGGGTGGGTGGGTGGATGAGTGGGTGGTGGGTGGATGAGTGGTGGGTGGTGGATGAGTGGGTGGGTGGGTGAGTGGGTCACTCACTCACACACTGACTCACCCACCCACTCACTCTATGTTATGTGCCGCTGGTAAAACGTTTGTATAATAATATATAAAAAAACTTTTTTAAAACACGCTTTAATGAAATGTACCCTACTAGTAAGGGAAGAACTCCCACGACTCCAAGAAGTGGCCCCGAAGCTTTCACAACGTAAGGGACCCGTGGTCCATTTACAGCCAACGTGAGTTTACCGTGGACAATTAGAGCCAAGCCGAAACATAACAAGTTTTGAAATATATTTTTCACCCGGACAAAGCCGGGTACTTCCCGCTAGTAACATATAAAAAAAGAATGTTTAAAAATACATGTTTTTTTTTTAAATGATAGAATATCGTATTGTCATCAGCGTGACACAAGTATACCAAGTTTTCAGTCGATAGCACACTGGGAAAGTGGGTAAAAATCGAGTTACAAGATTTGAGGATACAACAACAGACAGAGCGAGTGAAATAAAAGCGTGTCAATAATAATAATACAACTGTAGCGACATCGTGAATGTCACTGTGTAATTCCGGCTCTAAGCGATGCATTGCCATCGCTGACAATCCCCGTAGGTGGGTGCAGTACCAGCCCTAGAGGGGGCTCGTTGAGCGCTGGGTTAGCGCTCAGTGGCACCACGCGTGGCGTGCAGCGCCGACTCCTTACAGGAGGGAGCGTCAGCCGTGGGATGAGGTTACACGAGGCCATGGCACTCTGGTTGACCCTGGAAGGCACGTGACCAGTAACATCTACACAGGGGCCCCAGGAGGGGGGCTTGGGGGTGGTCACGTGTCAGGGTGAGATCCTACCGGGAAGTGTCGAGGAACGCCACGAGGTTTCTCGAAGGGGGTGGGGGTCGTGGCCAGCCACGACCTGGGAGCTAATAAACCGGGGACCCCACGGGGGACCGGGGTTCCAGCGTTGCTGCCATCATCCGCAGATCTACGATCGACGTCCAAGAAGAAGTCACCAACACGTGGACGAGGACCCCAAGCCAGGGTCCTGTCCGTTGTAGCTACTCCCAGTAACTAGCGTAGTTAGCCTGGTGGTCCACCACCATAGGTTAGGGGCCGTACATAAATGACGTCACGCGATTCTGGACGATTTGTGACCCCCCCCCCCCTCGTCACACGGCGTCACAAAAAGTCTGACCCCCCCCCCTCAAATATGACGTCACAAAGCTCTGCTCCCCCCCCCCCCAAAAAAAGCTTCAAATCGCTTTAAACTATTGTCATTGTAGTGCGTATTTGATGTGGCGCTGCACTCTGATGTTGCAGGAGAAAACATTGATCAAAAAGTATATTTAATAAAGTAGAACGTGTTGTTTATATTTATTTAAAGTTGCGCATTTTGTTATGACGTAACATTTCTCAAACCACATCCACCCCCTCGTCACACATCGTCACAAATGTCTGACCCCCCCCCCCCCCCCAGGTTCGTGACATCATTTATGGACGGCCCTTTATCTGGTAAAGGGGCAGTAACCCCTTTGTGTTATGTGTTGGTGTTAATAAATGTGTGTTGCCTCTAAGAAGTCCTTCTGCGACTCAGTTAAATCCACTGCACAACGATAATAATAGTGAAGGTATTGCGTTATTACGGGGTGCGTACCCACGGCGCAGAGCAGACAGCAGCGAGTTGGGGTTGCCCGGTATTGGCCTTCGGGGCAATCAGTCAAAGCTTCCAAACACTGCACACACACACACAGACACACACACACAGACACACACAGACACATACAGACACACACACAGACACACACACAGACACACACACACAGACACACACACACAGACACACACACACAGACACATACAAACAGACACACACACAGACACACACACAGACACACACACACAGACACATACAAACAGACACACACACAGACACACAGACACACACACAGACACACAAAGACACGCACACACAGACACACACACAGACACACACACAAAGACACACACAGACACACACACACATACAAACAGACACACACACAGACACACACACAGACACACAGAGACACGCACACACAG